TGTGCTGACGATCAACCAGAGAAGACTGGGTAGCGGCGATCTAGTGCGGCTCGAGAAAAGACTCATATAGATGGAAGATGAGGGAGAAACGAGGGGGAAGTTTCAGCATAGCCCCAATCTCGGCGTCAGAAATATCTGAGACTTGGAAGTTGGAATCCATGATTTTTGCCCCCGGGATAAGCACGCGTTCCCTTGGCGCCGGAAGAACATAAGCAACATCAGGAATTGGGACCGTCAGTGTCCAAGTTTCGGTCACCGGTGCCTTCTCTTTGCGCCTCCTTTTCAGCGCAGGAACCTCATCCTCCGACACCGAAGGGGCCTTTGTGGTTTTCCTTTTTCTCGGCGCCTGGGAAGAAGAGCTGGCTTTCTCCTTTTCCTTGGATGGAGGCTGTTGGCTTGGCGGGGGCTGCTGGCTTGGCTGAGGTGGTTGATTACGGGGAAGCTGAATCCTCAAAGACGCCATTTCTGTGCAAACGACGAGACAAAAATATAGTCGACGTTTGGATAGACAATGCCAGAATAAGAAAGGTGTCAAGATCAGGAGTTTACCTTCGTCGTTTAAATGGAAATATTTGCGAACGACGTCAAGATCGGTGGGGTATGGGAGATTGAGAATCAACCCAGCTTCTCGAAGATTGGACTCGGTCAGGAGGGTGTCAATATGACAAGCTTCGGACGAAAATGAAAAAGCTTGCTCAACCCTCGCCAATCTATTCCCAGCAAGTTTCGGCCAGTCTTGACTAACTACAGGATAAAAGGACTGTCAGCAAAAAAAAAAAGGAGAGATGAAGAGAAGTCGGCCAGTCTTGACTAACTACAGGATAAAAGGACTGTCAGCAAAAAAAAAAGGAGAGATGAAGAGAAGTTAAAATCTCACCCATGTTCCCAAACGACGCTTGCACCTTCCTTCGGCGGGGCAAGCGGTCGTCGGGATGAAAGTTAAAGGGCCCACGTATCATAAAAAACATAGGTTGCCACCCATGTGACGACGAGGGTATACCCAATATTAGCTTGCCGAACCTGGGTTGAGATCTCCCATGCCCACTCAAAAAGTACCACCCCTTGCACCTTGCGACATGGCACAGTCTGTACATAAATCTAAACTCGTCCAGCGAAAGATCAACATCAAACCGCTGACTCCACAAAATCCAGACGCCGGCAAAGCAGTACCAAAAATTCAGCGCCAACTGAGCAGGGGAGATACCATAGAAATGACAATAGTTCTTTACAAAGGGATGAACCAGAAGGGTCATCCTTGCCGTGACAACTCTAGTATAAACGGGGAGGTATCCGGTCGGAGGCATGCTAGTCCTCAAAAGCATATCCGGGAGGAGGTATTCGAACCACCTCCCATCAATGCAGCCTTTTTTGACAGCCCGGATAATGTCCTTATTCCGGACCTTCGACGCCACAATGTCGGCCGTAAAGAAAGGCCTGTCCGGATCTGCACTCGTAGCAGCCAGGGGGGCATCTACCAGCGAAGTAGCAACCCCACTTACGCTGCCACCCGTGAAGGGAATTCTGTCAACCACTTTGTCTATTATGTGGTCGAAACTACCGAACTCATCGCCGAAGTCATCGCCTGGTCCAAACACGGCCTCAGCGTCTTTTACTTCCCTCAGCAAAGAGTCGACGCCTGAAGAAGAAGAAGACCATGAAATCTCCTCCACAGAAGGGGAGTCTGGTCGGATGGCGGAAGGATCCTCTCGATAGGGGGGGGGGGGGGGGGTGGGAGTTTGGGGGGGGGGGGGGGGGGGGGTTGGGCCATTGTTCTGATAATTAAAAAGACAAGGAACTAAGTCAAAATCCTAAAGTCGAGAGGAAAAGGAAAAAGACGACCGTTCTAAGCGACGACCATTCTAAACGACGACTGCTCAAATGCCTCGACATGACGTCGACCATTCATGTAAAAATGGTAACGGCGAGTATTCATGGTAACTAAGGTTCATCAGAACCCAGAGGCCAGAAGCGTACAGTTAACCAAAAAATCAGAAAAAAGCTATCCTATGAGGATCATAGGATCATACAAAGCATACAGTAAGGTCTCTATCCCCTATATTCCACATTAGCATGTCTATGGCATACGATTCAATAAGAAAACCCGTGAAAACAATACAAAACGGGTGATGGTGAGGCTTACTGGTAAATCAGATTCTGGGCAAAGTCTGGAACTGAGACAGCTTCGCAACATACCGAGCAAGGCAAAGGAATGCAAGTTGGAATTTATAAGGAAGAATTCCGGCAGAGTAACGACAGTTTAAAAAGTGTTTTGGAAAAGTGGCCTCGGTTCAAAGGGTATTTAAGGGGAAGCAAGCCCTCGACCCCTGGCCGTTGGATGAAGTTCATGGAATCCAACGGCAGGGGCATCTCGCCCAGATCTGACGACAGCAGGCAAAGGCGGGAAAATGAAGGGGTGCGATCCAAAGGCTCACATTCGCCCTTTCGAAATGAGGCCTCACGTCAGCATGGGGAAGTGACCGACGTGACGGTTGCGTTCCTCAAGGAAATCTGAAGCATCCAGACCATCATTGTGGACGAAGGCTCGGGATCAGGTTCCCACACCCGAAGCACGAAGGTACGACCGAACCTAAGCTCGAGGCTGTCTAAAAGAAACCCTCGACCTGGGGGGTAGCTGTTGTGTGGGAAAATGTGGATGACGTGTGGAAGAACAACAGTGTGACACGTGGCCTTGTTTTTCCTCAAAATGCAACAACCCTCGACGCTGGGGACTCCCTTTCCTTCTGCTGCAAAGGAAGCCCAACTTAGGACGCCGACTCCTCATGACGACGACAGGTCGTACCGTCGACCTTACGACGGAAATCCTTCGGGAGAAAATCAGTTGCCAAGAAAGACTAGGCTGAGCAAACAGAGACGGCGAGAGGAATGCCCCAAAAGGGGAAAGCCTGACATAACAAGTTGCGTGCAAAAATGAGGGATGTATGCAGTGCAGGCATTAATTACAAACTCTTAAACCGCCCTACGGGGGACAGAAAAGGGTTACAGGTACGCACAGAGCCGTAATAGGAGACTAATTAGCTGAGTGAACAGTTCGCAAAGTGATTAGTAGGCTACGGACTGGGCCTAGAAAGACAGACCACTTGAGTGCTTCTGCCTACAAAGGAGACCCACCCGATGAAGGAAGCTCGGCTATAAAAGGGGCAAAGCCCCATACAGGAAAGAGATTCGCTTCATGAGAGAGAAAAAATGAGAGAACAACAGTTGATGTAAATTGTAACAATCTCAAAAGGAATATAAAACTACAGTGGATGTAGCTCTTCATTAATAGAGTAAACCACTATAAATTTTGTGTGTTCTTCTACTTCAAGCATATTTTCTCATATCGCTCATCATTCTAAAAATACAACAAACACTTCATAGCATAATTTCAAATATACAGTCAATATCAAGCCGGTAATCCAACGGGATACCTAGAGGTGATCCGGCCTATTTCTGTTGACGAATTTTCACCGTCAGCAAGATGCTAATTAATCTAGGTTCGGGATCTGCTCAATCTGGTATTTAGATTGAGTCATGAAGAACCCGTATCAGTATTTGGGAGTTTGTTTCTCTCTCTTTTGTTAGGAGTCATATGTTTATCTTTATCCAATTGAGAATCCACGTGTCCATTAGTAGTTACATCTTATTTATCCATAAAATTGTAGGATATTCATTTTCTAGTTTTTGGGCTGTGTGTTGATGCTTCAAAAAAATTGCAAATGAGCCAGGAATTGTAGGTCCTTTTTTCATGAGGGTAAGGGGAAATGGAGTAGGAATATTTAAAATTTCATCTACTCTGGTTGCTGTTGTTGTTGTCGTTGTTTTTCTTTTTTTTTTTTTTTTTTTTTTTTTTTTTTTTTTTTTTTTTTTTTTTTCTTTTTCGTGAGCTGATTATAAGATATGCACTTGTGCGAGCCCTAACGCGAGGTAAGAGAGCTTCTTGAGATGCTTTGGGGATCAGGTAATGAGATGTGTCAATTGTCAATGTTATATATAGGGATTCATTATATTGTGGTTAGAACTATGTCCTATTAATGCTATGGGAAAAGCTATAGTTGTAGTTGGACTTTTAGTTTGGAAAGTTTGATGTATAAGATTAAGAATGGCTATGAAACCAGGCAAGGAATGTTCATGCTTAGAGTGCTCTAAAGATTATGGGAGTGATTTGGCTATGAATTTGGAGAACTTTTGAGTTCTTTGCATCATTAGAAAGATGTGTCCATGAAAGTCTATCAAACAACTATATTTAAATCATGGTGATGAGAATATTTGTTGTCTAATGCCTAATAGATATGGGCTTCTGCATGTTATTGTAAATTATATATATTGTCGGAGATTGCCGTCAATTGGAATCTTGTTTTTCTTTCCTTATGTTTGGTTTAGTCTAGTTGTGTGTTTCACCCTACCTAACATGTTAACTATTCGAAGAAATTAATATGAGCTCTATTATTAATCAAATTAAAGAAAAACATGATAATCTAAATTCTAACATACAGATAACATCTAGACAATTACTAATGCACGTGCCCTTAAACTAGCAACTTTTTTTTTTTTTTTTTTGCTTTGAAAAAAAAAAATCAAAACTAGCAACTTGTAAGAGATCTGAATGTGTTATACTGCTCCTCTCGCAAAAACACCGTTCAAAGTGCTTTGGCTCCGTTCACTTCGTTGATTCGAGTTTAAAATTTAAGTTTTTTTACAGTAAAAAGCTCTCACAAACAATCACATCTAACTTTTTTGCTACAGTAAAAAGCTCTCACATAAAGTCACATCTCAACTCAAATTCTAAACTCGAATCAATGAAGTGAACGGGACCTTAATTTTTTCTTCTGCTGATTTTTTTTCCCTGCAGAACGTCGCTCGCGCTTTTTTTTTTTTGTTCTTTTGTTTTTTCTGTTTTTTTGTTTTTTGTTTTTTGTTTTTTCTAGTTTTTCCTTTTTTTTTGTTTTTTCTAGTTTTTCCTTTTCCTTTTTTTTTTTGTTTTTTGTTTTTTTTTTAACTTCTTCGTTCCTCCTTTCACCTCTTCACGTCTCTGCTTCTTCTCTATCTCTTACACTAATCTACCCTTCCGAGCCTTTTCTTCTATTTTTGCGCCAAAACTTCTTCCGCAACAGCTTCAAATGAAGGTGCCCATTTCGTTTTTCTACCTTTTTGTCTTGGGATTTCCGGTAAAGACTGCATCTTTGGGGCAATCGGACTCACGCTCAATTCTTCTCTCCATCGGTTGCTAATTTGCCTTCAAACTGCAGGTTTTTCTTTATCTTTTTTTTTTTTTAAAGAATTTTCTGGGGTTCGCTAGATAATCTGCAGACGTACGTTTTTTTGGCTGTCTGGTTGGAAAGAGCGCCGAATTCATGAGGGGGATAGAATTGTTGATTGGGATAAAGTCAAATTTGGGTAGCTATTTGGATCCATAAGGAAAAAGATTTTAGGAGCTTGCTTTTCTCTGATCTTTTTAGGTGCTTTCTACCTTGGTTTTGATTCTTTTGGGGATAAATCTTCCTCTTCTTGATTGTAGATAATTTTTCCATTGATTGAATGTTTTCTTTCTTTTCCACCAAAAACAAAAAGTAAGATCTTTAAGTTATGTTTGGTAGGAAGGAAAGAAAATTTGATAGAAAGAAAATATAAAAGTGATGGAAAATAACATAAATTGATTTTTTTTATGTTGTTCGGTACGAGAAGATGAAAAGAAAATGAACTTATAAACAAAAAGTAAGATCTTTAAGTTATGTTTGGTAGGAAGGAAAGAAAATATGATAAAAAGAAAATATAAAAGTGATGGAAAATAACATAAATTGATTTTTTTTATGTTGTTCGGTACGAGAAGATGAAAAGAAAATGAACTTACCTTCACTTGTTTAGTATTAGAAGTTAAATTAGGAGGAAAGAAAAAATTTTAGTTGTAAATTACTTTTATACTCTTAAATTTTTTATTTAGATGTTGATAGAGAGAGGGGTAGTTTAGTAACTTTTCTCATTTTAATTAGTTGTCCTTATTTTTCACTCTATTTTCTGCCCACTTGTGGAAAGAAGAAAAATGGTGGGATCCACATGTATTATTTTTCACTCCATTTTCTCTTCTTTTCTCTTTTCTCTCCTACCAAACAACTTACATTTCTATTTTCTCTCTCAAAATCTCTCCACCTTCTTCCTTCCTTCTACTTTTCTTTCCTACCAAACATACTCTTAATGTAGAGCTTTGTGTATAGGCAAAATTTTGACGATCATGCTCAATAAGGAGTTATTGAGTTGCTAAGATTAAGAAAGTGATTGCGGACTTGCTCCTTTTGTATTGTTCCCCTTTTGACGCCAGGATATGCAGTGCAAATATTTTTGAATTAACATTTGCTAATGCGATGACATCCTGTTATACTCGCAACAAAATCTCATTAAGATCCACGTGAAACATCCACGAGTGCGAAGCTTTCGCACGTCTTTAACTAGTTTCCTTGTAAATTTGCTTATTTCCTAGTCCATATATTACAGCTTTATTTGATTCAGCAGCATCTACAGTAGTCTACAGCACAATATTCAATTAAATTACTGACCTACCGCATTGTGGCTGCCATTTATCACCAGGTAATTTATGGATTTTGATGGCTAGTACGGATACCTACCATGGAAATTATTGTATTTTGGTAATGCTCTAAATCCTTAAGGTTGATTTGAGTTTTTGATTCTTCACAGGACAAGGATATGGAAGCACATTCTCCTTTGCACATCGCAATGTGTCCCTGGTTTGCTCTTGGCCACATTACTTCATTCCTCCACATCTCGAACAAACTAGCCAAAAAAGGCCACAAAATTTCCTTCTTCATCCCCACCAAAACACAATCCAAAGTATCACATTTCAATCTCTTTCCACATCTAATATCTTTCGTTCCCATCACCATTCCCCTCGTCGACGGCCTCCCTCCGGGCTCGGAGACCACTAATGACGTGCCCAGACCTTTAATCCCGCTCATCATGACTGCCATGGATCGTGCCGAACCCGACTTTGAAATCCTCTTACATGATCTCAAACCAGACATTGTCTTCTTTGATTCAGCACACTGGATTCCCAAGTTGGCCCGCCGATTAAGCATCAAATCCGTGTTCTATATCACAGTTAGCGCAGTAGCAATAGGTTTTAATTTATCTCGCAACATGAAACTCGGCGAAAGTAAGGCAACAGACGTGGCTGAGGCAATGCAGCCTCCTCCAGGCTTTCCTGACTCGTCCATCAAGCGCCTTCTCCACGAAGCACGGGATTATATCGACTTGAGATCTAAACCATTGGGCCCTACTAACATGCGCATTCAGGATCGCATCTATGTAGGCGTACAGGATTGTGACGCTCTAGCTTTCAAGTCTTGTCGAGAAATTGAAGGCCCGTTTGTCGAATATCTCGAGAGACTGATTTTGAAGCCCTTGCTTTTGGCAGGACCTGTTTTGCCAGTGCGACCCCTCTCTACTTTGGAAGAGAAATGGGCTAACTGGCTAGGCGGGTTCAAGCCTTGCACCGTAGTTTATTGTGCTTTCGGAAGTGAGACGGCATTGAGGAAAGACCAACTCCAAGAACTGTTGTTGGGGTTGGAGCTCTCTGGATTGCCCTTTTTGGCCGCGTTGAGACCGCCTTTGGAAGTCGCAACATTAAAAGAAGCCTTGCCCGAAGGGTTTGAAGAGAGAGTTAGAGGAAGAGGAGTGGTTCATGAGGGATGGATTCAGCAACAGCTAATGTTGGAGCACAAATCTGTTGGATGCTTCGTTACGCACTGCGGTTGGGGTTCTTTGGTTGAGGGATTGCTGAATGGATGCGAACTAGTTATGATACCACAAGTAGGCGATCAGGTTCTCAATGCAAGATTGATGGGCAACAACCTAAAGGTTGGGGTAGAAGTGGCGAAAGGTGAAGAAGATGGGTTGTTTACAAGAGAGAGTGTGTGCAACGCTATTAGGACTGTCATGGAAGAAAATTACAGTGAGGTTGGGAGAGAGATAAGAGCCAATCGTGCCAAGTTACAAGACCAGCTTTTCAATAAAGATGAGGAGTATATTGATGAGTTTAGTAGGAAGCTGGTGTTGTTTCCCTAATATTGACAGTTTAGAAGGAAGCTCAGTCACATACAACTAAGGTTTTTTGTTTTATTTTATTTGTGAAATCTAAATAAATTTGTAGTTAGTTCCTCCTAAGCTTTTAAAATTCTATGCTTGTCCCACCTAATAATATTTAACTCGAGGAACCTGCTGAAATTGTAATTTGAATACTATCTTCTCTCTCTAATGTTTGCTTTCTGTAAGAATAATGAATAACACATCAATACAATCCTGTAAATAGTACAATTCACACCAATAAAAATTAGCCGCTTGACTAACACGTAGAAACTTATTACTATAAAGAAATGGAAAGGAGGATTAGTTCCTTATTTAACGCTACATGTACGATTCATATTGTTAACAAATCACATCAAATAGGAAAGTTTTCTTCTCCTTCTTTCTGAAATTTGCCCATCCTTTGGATCGAGTCCTGATCATTAATCTTTTCTTTGATTGATGGATAATATACGTGTTTCCAGCTTTCTTTGTTCAGTTTATTGACAAATGTAATTCTCATTTATAAACCAAAAAAAAAAAAAAAAAAACACCTCACTTACAAGTTACAAGTTGATATAATTTGTAAGTGGATGCATCTATTGACACTTTTTTTTTTCTACTTTTAACACACATTTTTAAACCATCACTCTATTTATTTCACTCCTTTTAAAATTTTAAAGAAACCCTTACAACTAAATCACCTTTAATTCTACATATTACATGTACATTTTTAAATTACTCCTCATTCTACTTGTTACACCCATTTTAAAAATTTAAAAAGTCTCTACAACTAAATTGTATTGTTTTTTTTTTTTCTTTTATATGAAATTGAAATGTGTTTTTTCTTTTCTTAAAGATTTTTTTTTTCTCTACTGCTAACATTTGTTTTGTTATATAATTATCATTTTTTTCTTAAAGCTTGCTACAGTCCTAATGAATTTCCTCTTATGTTTTTTATTTTCCACCATGAGAAACTTCTAATTTTGGAAATTAATTTGGAATTAATAGAACTACTTGAGAAGGCTGCTACAAAATTTTTATTCTTCTATATCAATTTTGCTCTTCAAGACTAAAAAAACATACTAGCTCCTAAATGCTTAAACGGTGAATTATGTATTTATTAGACATTCAAAGCACAGTTCTTCCATTGATCAACTTTTTTTATTCTCTGCTTGTTTTTGAGGCTGCAACTCAATTGAAAAATAACGATTTTTTATGTTTCTAAATTGAAAAATCTCCCCAACACAACTGATTTTATTTTTTATTTTTATTTTTTTTTCAATTGCCATGCCAGGCAGCTAGTGCAAGCAGTTTGATACGGCATAATAAATTTAAAAGGTAATATATATTTTTAATAGTGGTGTGTGTAATGAGTAATATTGTCTTTAAAATTAATTTTATTAATGACTATTTTAATAATATTAAATAGAAATGTGTAAAAAATAAAAAAAATGGGTATCAATAGACGCACCCTTTTCGACGTGTGAAACCGCCACATTTTTTTTTCCTGGACGAGTTACATGCTGCCCCTCTTAAACTATAGGCTTTGTCACAAAATGCTCCAAAACTTTAAATTTTAGCTTTTTTTTTTCTCCTGAGTTTTAATAACTCTTGCAAAAAAATGTACGCCACTAGTTCACAAACCAACAAACCACCCCTAAAAAATATCGGGTAATCTTGACAAACACTCTTTAAAAGTGCATGAGTCATAATTTTTATTTTTTACTTTTGATTCATAACATTTTTAGTCAAATAATTGCACTAATAAAAAGATATTTATCAATAATAAAGAGTAAAAATCAAGACTCATGCATTATCAATAAAAACACGTGGTCCTTTATGTTTCAACCACCACAGAATGTGGCAACCACATTTTACACATGATCAGCTTCATCTACAAAAAAACACAAATGAAACGGATCTAAAAAAAAATTAGGTCGCTTTTCGACGACATTATCTTCCATTGGCCTTAACTAGTGCTGAAAATTTAGGCCGGGCTAGATGGGCCGGCCCGAAGCCTGGCCTGAATCTTAAAAGCCCGAGCCTGGCCCGACCTTAGTGCAGGGCTGGGCTGGGCCGTAATTCCAGACTCCCAGGCGGTTCGAGCCCGGCCCGGAGAGCCCGAATAGCCCGAAATGGCCCGGTCCGAATGGCCCGAAATGGCCAAAGGCCTATGTATTTTTTTTTTTTGGTTACTTGTTTCTAGCCCAAGCCCAATGGTAATATTACCGTTGGGCTGACTCACTGTCTCACGGCAGTGAATCTGAAGCAGAGGGCAACAGGCCTGTAGCCTTCTGCTTTTTTTTTTTTTTACTTGTTTCTGGCCTTTTTTTTTTGTTTACTTGTTTCTGGCCCAAGCAGCCAAGCCCAACGGTAATATTACCGTTGGGCTGACTCACTGTCGTGAGGCAGTGAGTCTTTTTTGTTTGTTTGTTTACTTGTTTCTGGCCCTTTTTTTTATTTACTTGTTTCTGGCCTAAGCAGCCAAGCCCAACGGTAATATTACCATTGGGCTGACTCACTGCCGTGCGGTAGTGAGTCTGAAGCAGAGGGCTACAGGCCTGCATCCCTCTATTTTTTTTTGTTTACTTTTGTTTTCTCCTAAAATCTCTAAATTTTATCTATAAATATGTTTTTTTTTTTTTACTTGTTTCTGGCCTTTTTTTTTTGTTTACTTGTTTCTGGCCCAAGCAGCCAAGCCCAACGGTAATATTACCGTTGGGCTGACTCACTGTCGTGAGGCAGTGAGTCTTTTTTGTTTGTTTGTTTACTTGTTTCTGGCCCTTTTTTTT